CAGGAATGTGGAGACCACTGTAGATGAAGATGCTTTACCTGGCAAATTACCTGAAACTCCTCTCAGAGCAGAGCCTCCATCTTCATATAAGGTAAATCAAGTATTTGGAGTTAGCTTTATTGGGTCTTACCATAAGCATTTATGGCTATGATGAAGAAAATAGGTCCTAGCATTTAAAATGAGGTAGAAACCTTGACAGTTGGAACCATGGAGCATGGGTGATAGTGAACGTTCATCATGGTGGTTTTTATGTGATATTTTTAGGTACTCCTGTTTTCTTCTTCGAGCTTCCTTTAATAATTTATAGTCAGATCATGATTGTCAAGGCATAAGATTTTATTTGGACTTCTAAATTCCAAAATTCTTTCTCATATCTTCCATTTCTGTTTATTCTGTGACTCCTGCCTTGCATACACCTATGTATTGTGCCCTCAGGGTCTTGCCCAGTGAGTAAGCACAAGTGGTTGTGGGTACACTTCTGGGTCAGACTGCCTGGGCTTAAAACTTGGTTCTGGCACTTACTGATTATATAATCTTAGATTCTTAATCTCTTTAACTTTAGTTTTTTTATCTGTATAATGGGGTACCTACTTAATCTGTAAAGTAGTATAAAGTAACATTTCATGAAGTTATTGTAGTAAGATGGGAACTCACATGAATATACATTGGTACCTCCTAAGTACTCAAATTACCCATGACGTTTATACTGCTTACTAGCAGTATATTCATGGGTTCAGAGAGAGTATCTTAGCATTTCTTTCTGTATTAGCTGAGTTCCTACCCCAAATAATTTTCATTTAAATGATAAGTCTTATGGTTAGTCTCAAAGGATTGAGTTCCCACTGAAGGTCAGGATTGCTTATTTGAGTCACTTTAGTGGTTTGGATTATAGCACCCTCACCCAACCTCCCCAGCCTCCCCTTACAGGCCAGCCCCAGAGCAGACTGTCTTCATAGCCCACGCCATCAGCGCCCACCTTAGATTCTTCTCTTGCTCTTAGAGTATAGAAACATGTTTTACATGCAATGAGCTTCTCATCTGTTCTAAGAGCTACTATTAATAATACATTTTCCTTTCTCTTCTTTCTTTTATCCAACTACTAGAAACAGTTGACTCTGGTACATTTTGTTTAAAGTGGACTAGCCTAACTAACTAAGTTGTCAACTAGCCATTATTTTCACTTGTTTTGTAGTTAGACAACAATATAAATAATACAAACAATAAAAATAATCTTAAAGGAAAAAAAACTTAAAGGATATTAATATTTCTGTGCCTGTATATTTTTTAAATTGTAAAAGCTTTATTTATTTATTTATTTTTTGAGTCAGAGTCTCGTTTTGTCACCCTCGTTAGAGTGTTCTGGCATCATAGCTCACAGCAACCTCCAACTCTTGAGCTCAAGCGATTCTCTTGCCTCAGCCTCCCCAGTTGCTGGGACTACAGGTGCCTGCTACAATGTCCAGCTATTTTTAGAGACGGGGTTTCGCTCTAGCTCAGGCTGGTCTCGAAACTGTAAACTCAGGCAATCTGCCTGTCTCGGCTTCCCAAGTGCTGGAATTACAGGCATGAGCCACCGCTTAAGTCCTGTGAAAGCTTTATTGAGGTACATTGTAAAGTAAATTTAAAGTAAAATACATCTGTTTAAAATATACAGTTTTGGCCAGGCAAAGTGGCTTGCCAAAATAGAAAAAACACTAGCGGAGCATTATGGCAGGCACTTGTAGTCCCAGCTACTTGGGAGGGTGAGGGAAGAGGACTGATGCTTGAGCGCAACAGTTTGAGGTTCCTGTGAGCTAGGACGCCAGAGTACTCAACCCAGGGTGACAGAGTGAGACTTTGTTTCAAAAAAACACAGTTTTAACAAGTGTAAACATCCTTATAACCACCAACACAATCAAATTACAGAATATTTTCACCACACCAAAGCTAAAACATTGAAAAATTTAAAGTTTATTTTTATAACTCACTGAAACTTACATATCTAATCAAAACTCTTTTTAGGTAATGTGTCAGTGGATGGAAAAGTTTAGAAAAGATCTCTGCAGGTTCTGGAGCAATGTTTTCCCAGTATTCTTTATGTTTTTGAACGTCATGGTGATTGGAATTGCAGGAGCAGCTGTGATAATAACCATTTTAAAGGTGCTTTTTCCACTTTCTGAATACAAGTAAGTGTTCTTGTTTTTGAAACAATACTTTTAATAATTAAAAATATGAGAGATATTTATCATAGACTAGGAAATATGAAAATGAAGGGTAAGACAAGTGGGAGGGAAAATAACACCTTTTTTTTTGTAGGTTATCTTCCAACTTTAGCAAAATTAAAACACATTTTATTGAATACCTAGTGTGATCGAGAAACTCAAAGATTCAAATGCAAATAAGACAAACTTTGCTGTTTAGGAACTTAAATTTAGGGAGGAAGGAAGGAGGGGAGAAGGGCAGAGGAAGGGATTGGCAAGTTCTCACCTAATGGGCACAATGTAGGTATATGTGGCAGACCTCCTGGGTGAAGGGCTCAATTATAACTTGGACTCTAAGAAATGCAAGCAATGTAATCTAATCACTTGTATCCTCATATTAATCTGAAATTTTTGTTTTTGAGACAGAGTTTCACTTTGTTGCCATTGGTAGAGTGTTGTGGAGTCATAGGTCACAGCAACCTTCAACTCTTGGGCTTAAGTGATCCTCTTGCCTCTGTCTCCCATGTAGCTGGGACTGCAGGTGCCCATCACAATGCTTGGCTATTTTCTTTTAGAGATAGGGTCTTGCTCTTGCTCAGGTTGGTCTTGAACTTGTGACCTCAAGCAATCCATCTGCTTCAGCCTCCTAGAGTGCTAGGATTACAGGTATGAACTACTACACCTGGCTTAATCTGAAATTTGTAGAAAATAAAAAAAGAAAACAAGAACTTAAACTTGGCTGTGCATGGTGGTTCATGCCTATAATTCTTTAACTTTGGGAGGCCAAGGCAGGAGGATCACTTAAGGCCAGGAGTTTGCGACCAGCCTGGGCAATATAGCAAAACCTTGTCTCAATCAATCTCTACTAGGGAGAGAAAGGAAATAAATATATAAATGGAAAATGTAATGTGTATGATCAGAGATGGACAACACAGGAGGACTTCATAGCTGAAGAAGTCCAAAAATTTGTTAGGTAGAGGGAAAAGTTGCAAAACAGTATGTTTGCATTTGGGTAAAACAGAAAGAAGTATTGTGTATGTAGAATGTACTTAGGCATAGAAAATTTTCAGAATGAGAAAAGTTACCTCTAATGAGTAGGAATGAGAGGAGTAGAGGGACTATCTTCTTTCCTTTCATATTTGACTTTTTTTTTCTAAGATAGAGTCTCAAGCTGTCACCCTGGATAGAGTGCTGTGGGTGGTATTATATTTCCCAGCAACCTCAAACTCTTGGGCTTAAGCAATTCTCTTGCCTCAGCTTTCCAAGTAGCTGGGACTACAGGCGCTCACCACAATCCCCAGCTATTTTTTTGTTGCAGTTGTCCTTGTTTGGCAGGCCCTGGCCAGGTTCAAACCTCCCAGCCTCAGTATATGTGGCCATACCGTACCCACTGAGCTATGGGTGCCACCTGTATTTGACTTTTTTTTTTTAGAGAGTCTCACTTTACTGTCCTCAGTAGAGTGCCGTGGCATCACACACCTCACAGCAACCTCCAACTCCTGGGCTTAGGCGATTCTCTTGCCTCAGCCTCCACAGTAGCTGGGACTACAGGCCCTTGCCACTGTTGTGACTCGCAGAGCTGGGAAAGAGACTCAGACCCCACTTGGTGCAAGGATCAATAGTAATTTATTCCATCTGCGCAGGGGGTTGTTGCTGTAAGAAGCAATCGACAAGGAATGGCGACCAAATGGGTTTTTATACCCTATTTTCTGTGTCACAGCAAGCAAAGGAACAAAAGCCAAACACTGGGGTTAGCTTTGGGGGTGGGGATGGGGGGAGTTACGTAGTTCAAGGTAGGGGAGTGTACATAAGTTGAGAAAGTTTCTGAGAACTCGGGACTTTGCTTATCTTTTAGCCTCTTCTCAGAATTTTTCCCCATTCCTAAGTGCTTCCTTATCTTCAAGCCTATTCTCAGAATTTTTCCTCCCCACCCTTGAGGGAGCTGGGACTCAATGGACTCAAAAGAAGTTTCTTTTTCAAGGGTAGGGGGCTTGGTTATCACACTACAACACCCAGCTATTTTTTTGGTAGCAGTTCGGCCTGGGCCGGGTTTGCATCACAACTCACAGCAACCTCAAACTCTTGGGCTTACGTGATTCTCTTGCTTCAGCCTCCCAAGTAGCTGGACTACAGGCACCCACCAAAACGCCAAGCTATTTTTTGGTTGTAGTTGTCACTGTTGTTTGGCAGGCCCTGGCTGGGTTCAAATCCACCAGATCCGGTGTATGTGGCTAGCTCCCTAGCCACGGAGCTACAGGCATTTAGCCTATATATGACTTTTTAATCAAAAGAATAGTTTTGTAATAAATTTTAAAATGAATTATTGTTAGCATTTAGCATTTCTACAAGTGAAACAATTAGTTATTTTAGTTACATTTTCTTTTTGTTGAGATAAAGTCTGACTCTCTCACCCTGGGTAATGTGCCCTGGTGTCATAGCTCACAACCACCTCAAACTCCTGGGCTCAAGAAATCCTCTTGCCTCAGCATCCCAAGTAGCTGGGACTACAGGCACTCACCACAGTGCCCAGCTAGTTTTTCTATTTTTAGTAGAGATGGGGTCTTTACTGTTCTCAAACTCCTGAGCTCCAGCAATCCACTCGCCTAATGCTCCCAAAGTATTAGGATTACAGGTGGCTCCCTGAGCCACCATGCCTAGCCCCAAAAGAAAAATTTAAAGAGATTTTAATTTTATTCTTAAATTTTGGGTCATGGGATATGTGTGCTTATAGGATACTACTTAGTATCTCATATCTTGAAATCAGATTGGACACTGTCGTCCTCATTTCCTGTTCAACGCTAAGTATTGCATAGTATTTGCTTTTTATCACGGTATCCACCTGTCTTAGTGGAGGTTTGTGTAGATGCCACATGATGAGAGAGAGAGAGAGAGAGAGGTGGAAGGTGTTAGAGAGATGTGGCAGGTGCCATGCTGTTCTTAACCAACTCTAAAGGGAACTAAAAGAGTGCAGAATCATTTATTATTCTCCAACCCTAGAGAAGGGCATTAAGCTGTTCATGAGGGATTGGGATCCACCCCCATGACCCAAACATTTCCCTTTAGGCCCTACCTCCAATAATGGGGATTAAATTTCAAACTGAGGTTTGGAGGGGACAAACTGTAGCACCACCAGAAACTCAGCTTTGAAAAGATGACTTCAATGAATGTTTTGCAATTTAATGTTGGAACCATGAACTACCCTTAAGCTAGTATTATGCATGAAATCTCCTGAAAATTGAAAATATTCTGTGATGCCTTTCTGAGTTTGCTGTGCCAGCCCAGCAGCCTCAGTGCACTTTGGGAACCATGGACTTAAGATCTTTTAAGGCAATACATATATAAGCATATCCTTTTTTGTCCCGTTTTTTGAGTGTCAGTTTACGTTTTTACTTCATTTTTGGTTGACAAATCATATTTAGTTTACCTATTCCTTTTATGGCCGCATAGTCCTGAAGGTGATAGGAAAAAACCAAAGTGTTTCACACACAAGATCTCACCCTCTGGTCACTAGTATGAGTATGGGGATTTCTCCCCACCAACAAACAGCTGGGATCCTCTTACTCAACTCAGTTCTTACACCGTGTACCTGGAGAGAGCATTGGTTCCACAAGACTGCCCTTCATTTCAGGTGCCAATCCCAAGCTCCAGGCTATGATGCGTGTTTCTAACCAGCTGCCTTTAAAAGGTTCCCATGACCCCATCCTTGGGTTTAACTTGGTAGGATGGCTCACAGGACTCAGGGAGACATGCTCATACACTGGTTACAAAGGAGGTAGATGAATGGGTAGGTGGAAGAGATGCATGGAAGCGCCTTGCCTCTTCAGGTACACCACTCTCTGGGCTCCTCCATGTGTTCAGCTACCCATAAGCTCTTCACACCCAGTACTTTTGGGTTTTCTTAATGGAGATGTCATTACATGGGCATGATTGATTATGTCATTGGCTGTTGGAAATCAATTCAACTTTCAGCAACCCTTCCTGCTCACCCCATCCTCAGGCTGGGGGAAGGGAGGAAGAAAGTTCCCACCTTCTCTTGGCTGGTTCCCGGCAACCAGCCTTCATCTTGAGGCCATCCAGGAGCCCTCCTTATTTCAGTCATCTCATTAGCATGTAAGAGACACTACTCTGAGATTACAGATTTAGGAACTGTGTGCCAGGAAGCCAGAGGAAGATAAATCATGTGTTATTTTAAATCACAGCATCGCAGTAGTGTTTTACAGTGTGGATATACCATATTACAATCATTCCTCTATCAAACATTTAAGTAATTTCCACTTTTATGTTAATTCCAATAATGCTCTATGTATTTATGTAGAATAGATCCCTAAAAGTAAAATGACTGGATCAAAGGGCATGTGTATTAGAAAACTCAACCGAATGACAAATCCTGTTTTGCTACTGTATTCAAAAATATGATCACACTTTAATTTGTATTTTCTTACTAGCATCTTTGTGTTAATTGGCTATATATGTTTCTTTGGTAACTTGCCTATTTATAGTCTGTTCATTTTTCTTTCTTCTTTTTTTTGAGATGGGATCTGTGTGATTCAAGCTGGAATGCAGTGGCATGATTGTCACTCACTGCAGCCTCCAACTCCTGGCTCAACCGGTCCTCTTACTTCAGCCTCCCAAGTAGCTGGGACTATAGATGTGTGTCACCACACACAGCTAATTTTTCTTACATTTTGTAGTGACAGAGTCTTGCTATGTTGTCCAGTCTACAATCCTGCCTTAGCTTCTAAGGTGCTAAGATTATAGCGTGAACTGTCATAAAAATGGTCTTGTCCATTTTTCAGTTGTATTGCCTTTTGTGTAATCACTAATACATAGGAGCTCCTTTGTCTGCTGTACATGTGTACTATAGGAGAATTTTTTTTTGGCAGTTTTTGGCTGGGGCTGGGCTTGAACCCGCCACCTCCAGCATATGGGACCAACGGCCTACTCCTTTGAGCCACAGGCGCTGCCCATGGAGATTTTTTTCTTTATCCCAGATTACCATTCATCTTTTGCTCTTGTTTATGACATCTCAGATCATACAAAAGCTTTAGGTTTAGGCCGAGTGCAGTGGCTCACGCCTGTAATCCTAGCACTCTGGGAGACTGAAGCAGGTGGATTGCCTAGCTCACAGGTTTGAGACCAGCCTGAGAAAGTGTGAGACCCTGTTTCTAAAAATAGCCAGGCATTGAGGCAGGTGCCTATACTCCCAGCTTCTTGGGAGGCTGAGGCAAGAGGATTGCTTGAGCCCAAGAGTTTGAGGTTGCTGTGAGCTGTGGCACCACCACACTCTACTGAGGGTAACAAAGTGAGACTCCATCTCAAAAAAAAAAAAAAAATCTTTAAGTTTGGGTTCTAGGCAATTCATGTTTATTTTATGGCTTCTTAAGTTTTTATTTTTACCTAAGTAGGCCAGCCTTTCCCATCTTAAAATGCTGTTTTCTTAAAACTTATTTTTTACCACCACTTTTGTGTATACTTTAAAAAAAATTTTCGGATTAATATAAGGGTATATTGATTAGGGTATAATGATTAGGTTAAAAAGTTTGAGTTTCTTAGGCAAGGTTAGCTCTGTTGTAGTTGTGTCCTGCACCCATATACTCTTACATTGTGCCCATTAGGTGGGAGCACACCAATCTCCCTCCCCTCCTAAATTGAATTAAATTGAGTTTTTCTCTTACGACTTTTGTGTATACTTTAAGCTAAAGTAATATAATTGGTTTCCAAACAGAGACTATTCCATTAGTAATTTGTCATTGACTTAGAATGTCACTTGATTATAAACTAAATTTCCTTACGTGTTAGTCTGTCTGTGGACTGTCTTCTGCTCCAGTGATCTATTTGTGTCAGTAGCACACTTTTAATTACAGTGGTTTTTGTTTTTTGGTTTTTTTTTTTTTTTAGAGACAAAGTTTCACTTTGATGCCCTCGGTAGAGTGGTGTGGCATCACAGCTCACACCAACCTCCAGCTCTTGGGCTTAGGTGATTCTCTTGGCTCAACCTCCCGAGTAGCTGAGACCACAGGCACCCGCCAAAACACCAGGCTCTTTTTGCTGTGGTGGTTGTTGCAGTTAGGACAGGGCCGGGTTTGAACTCTCCACCCTTGGTATATGGGGCTGGTGCCCTATTCACTGAGCCACAGGTGCTGCCCTAATTACAGTGTTTTAATAAAACCTTTGATAGCTGGTTAGGACAACTCTCTCTTCTCCTTAATTCTTTTAAAAAAATGTTATAGCTGGTGGTGCCCACAGCACACTGGTTATGGTGTTGACCACATGCACCGAGGGTAGCAGATTCAAACCCAGCCTGGGCCAGCTAAACATCAATGACAACTGCAACAACAAAAAAATAGCTGGCCATTGTGGCAGATACCTGTAGTCCCAGCTACTCGGGAGGCTGAGGCAAGAGAATCACTTAATCCCATAGAGTTTGAGGTTGCTGTGAGCTGTGACATCACAGCACTCCACTGAGACAAATACTGAAACTGTCTCGAAAAAGAAAAAAAAGTTATAGCTATTCTTGAACAGTTTCTCCCCTGTTAACTTTAGAAGAATCAGTTTGTTCAGTTCTATAAACAACTAGCCTCTGCTGATATTATGATTGAGATAATACTGAACTTTAAAAGTGGCTAGGATTCAATCCAAAGACCCATTCCTTGGTCAGAGATTTTAAGTAATAAAATGAGAGATACTATCTAAAGAGCTAAGGTTGTGTTCCACTGGTGAGTTTTATTTAGAAAGAGCTTGGGCTTAGTCTTTTTACTCAACCTGGGCATATCTAGGGACCTAACTCTGTGCCTTGGGGATCTATATTTACCCTATCCTTGCCTTCTGTTCCCTTAGTCATTTTGGCTAAAGTGATGTTGGGTTCACAGTTTGTACAACCATTATAAACTTAAATAGAATGAAGCAAAAGCACCTGACCGTGGATTTATGTTTAATTTCTAACCTTGAAGTAGCCTATCTTACTACCAAAATACAGGCAGGGGAAATTTTTTTTTTTTTGAGACAGAGTCTCACTTTCTTGCCCTTGGTAGAGTGCTGTGGTGTCACAGCTTACAGCAACCTCCAGCTCTTAAGCTTAGGCAATTCTCTTGCCTCAGCCTCCTGAGTAGCTGGGACTACAGGTGCCTGCCACAACGCCCAGCTATTTTTTGTTGCAGTTTGGCCGGGCCAGCACCTATCCCTATATGGGGTTGGCGCCCTATGTACTGAGACATAAGCACCACCCAGAAATATTTAATTTTGATAGTTATTATTTTCTATTTCAGAGGAATTCTTCAGTTGGATAAAGTGAATGTTATACCTGTGACGGCCATCAACTTATATCCAAATGATCCTGAGAAAACATCTGAAAACCTTGAAGATAAGACATGTACTTAAAAAAAAAACACCATCTCAAATCATGGAATTTGCCACTTGAATATAATTTTTCAAAAATCAGTAAGAATCAGTTTATACACTAGAGAAATTGCTAAACTCCTAAGACTGCCTGAAAAATTGACCTTAACAGTGCCAAGTTAAAAGTTCACCTTTTTCTCTAAAAGGGCTGGCTATTGAGGTGATGGAAAATTTAAACAAAGTAGAAGACAAGACCTGTGAAGAGACTTTTAAATTATATATATAAAAAACACAAAACAGGCAAGAAAAAAATGCCATGTGCCAATAACATTTCAAGGTGCCTTTGTTGAGGAAATTATATTCACTTAATTACTATAATATATAAGACTTTATGAAAAGCACTTTATAAAATTCTAATTTAAAAGTTCAAGAACTTAGTAACACTTTTTTATGCAGTACAATGTGCCTTTATATTAAGTATATGTCTCAGTATAAAATTCTTGACATACATTGTGACTTGTGTCCTGTACCAAGACTACTTGAATGCACCAGGATTTAAAAGTGGTAGTGACATGTTCTCACTCTAAAATAAACTTTTTTGAAGAAAAAAGTATAGCTGTTTTGGTTACAGATAATAAAAACTTTGCCCAGGAGATAATTACTTTATAGTTCCTTTCATTTACACTGGCTAAAACCAAGGCTCAAATCAGTCGAGTCCATCAGTATCAGGGACTGCACTGTGTCCTTCATCTTGGGATTCTAGGTACAGTGCTATTTACCCTAAGGTGGTGTTTTATCCTGCTTTTTTAAACCATCACTTATATTGACATATTTTATAAAGTGACCTAGTACATATACCTTATCTTTATGTGGTACTTTCTATTGATCATTAACTTTTTTTAATTGCAGCCTATCATTTAAAAACCCTTGTCCAAGAAAGTAATGGTTTTTAAACCTCTTTCTATTTAGACTAAATAGATGAGTTTGGGCGGGGGGTGAAGGATGAGTTAGTAAAATGAAGTAATATTTCATTTTGCTTAGCTGTCTTTTTTTTCTGGTTTTTTTTTTTTTTTTTTTGAGACAGAGTATCAAGCTGCGCCCCAGAGTACTGTGGCATCACAGCTCACAGCAACCTCCAACTCCTGGGCTCAAGTGATTCTCCTGCCTCTGCCTCCCAAGTAGCTGGGACTACAAGCGCCTGCTACAATGCCTGGCTATTTTTTGGTTGCAGCTATCATTTGGCGGGCCCAGGCTGGATTCAAACCCGCCAGCTCAGGTGTATGTGGCTGGTACCTTAGCCACTTGAGCCACAGGCACCGAGCCTGCCTAGCTGTTTTTAATTAATACATTACACAGAGCTAGAAAAATAACAGCATGCAATTTATAATTTTATCCTAAAGTTACCAGTTAGTAATGCTTTTTCTTTATGCCTTTCCTTATTATATAAATTGTTAGAAAGCAGCAATTTTAACTCCAAATGATCATAGGGTCTCGTCCATTAACAATAAGGTTATAGATTCTAGCAAGGAAAAAAATTTAGGTGGCTACATGGTCCATTGCAGAGCATGCTTTGCAGTTAGCAAATTCCTGTCCTGACTTCTCTCCTTCCCAGCCAGACTTGGGACCATAGCATGGCATTCAACTCCTTGAGGCTCTGGTTGAGAGGATACAATAAGCTATCATAAGTAATCATAAATGAAAATCTTATCTAAAATTTTATACCATTAACTTTTGTTTCACTTATTAGCTTTTACTTATAACTATTACTTTAACATGTATGAATTAATGAATTTAATTGGAGTATGAGTGGCACAGGCTTAGAAAAAGAACTACTTACCTATAGTGCAGCCTTTTATGTAGGCAGAATAAAAATTAGGCAAGACTTTTTTTTCATTTATTTAGAGACACAGTCTCACTTGAGTGAGAATGGGCAGAGCGCAGTGGCATCATAGCTCACAGCAACCTCAAACTCCTGGGCTTAAGAGATCCTCTTGCCTTAGCCTCCCAAGTAGCTGCCCACTATAACACTTGGCTATTTTTATTTTTTTTTTTTATTCTTTTTGGCCAGAGGCCAAGTTTGAACCCACCACCTCTGGTGTATGGGGCTGGTGCCCTACTCTTTTGAGCCACAGGCGCCACCCTATTTTTTTTTTTTTTTTTGGTAGAGATGGGGTCTCACTCTTGCTCAGGCTGGTCTCAAACTCTTGAACTCAAGTGATCCACCCACCTTGGCCTCCCAGAGTGCTGGGATTACAGGTGTGAGCTGCTATACCTGGTTCATTTTTTTTTTTCTTGTTAAGTGCATAGTAACATGAGTCTTTAAACTTCCAGAAAGAAGCAAAACCACCATAACACCTGGTGGGAAAGAAGGCACCTTGAGCCTTGTTCAATGCTTTAGTTAGCTACTTGTATAAAAATGCTTAAAGGGCGGCGCCTGTAGCTCAGTGGGTACCGGCCACATACACCTAAACTGCTGGGTTCAAGCCTGGCCTAAGCATGCTAAACATTGACAACTGCAACCAAAAAATAGCTGGGCATTGTGGCAGGCACCTGTAGTCCCAGCTACTTGGGAGGCGGAGGCAAGAGAATCACTTAAGCCCAAGAGTTGGAGGTTGCTGTAAGCTGTGACACCATAGCACTCTACCAAGGGTGACATAATGAAACTCGTCTCAAAAAAAAAAATGTTTAAGGATTTTAAGTTATGCACTGGCACCTAAGGAACTAGGGCCAATCTCCATAGAAGGAATGAGAACAGCAGACAGTGGGAGAAAAGATTCTGTGCTTAGGAATGCACAGCTTTCCTAGCCCCTGAATCAAGACAGCTGTTGGCTTCAAATAAGAGCCAAGGGTGATGTCTTCCTTATGGTCTGTTGGCTAATATCACTATATGAATGGCCAATTCAGTTGGAAGAAACATAAGTCTAGAAAAAAAACTTTCTAAGCTAAGTTAACATTTGTGTTAACACTTGTGGTTGGTGAAATAGAAATCTGGTAATGCTAAAGTAAAACAAATTTTCAGCTTAAAAATACTGCTTTTATTCAGAATCATAAAGGTTTTTAAAAAATCTTACCATTAAGAAAGCTTAAAAAAATATAGCACTCAGTGCAATGAATTACTACATTTAATTATTATTTCAAACACTTAAGGCAGATTTCTCACATGTGAGAATTTAGCATGATCCAAACTCAAATATCCACTTCTCATATCTTTCAATGTCTGCGGCAGATACTGACTTAGAAACCTTTTTTAAAGCCATTTCAAAATCCTCCATTGTTGTAGGCATGTGCATTTCTTCTTTTGAAAGATTTCGGATTTCTTCTGGAGTCAAACCTTCAATACGCCTTCTCATTGCCATCAAGGATGCATCCCTAGGTTTTAGTTAACAAAACAAACAAATAACAAAGTATTATTTTGATTGGATGAAAACCTGTGAAAAGAAAAATTTTTAATGCATCTGTTATAACTCTAACCTTTTATAACCTTTTCACCTAAAAGTATTTAGTATTGTATAAAATCTTACTGCGATACAAGGCCTGTTGTATTTTAGCAGTTACAAGGAGGCTAATCAATTTAAATACAGAATATAGAAGCCCAAAAAGGTACAATAAAGAAGGTAGCAAGTGAATTTTGTTGTAAGTATTCAATAAAGAATAAACATCACATGGATAGAAGAGAACCTGCTAGCCAGAAAATTAAATGTTTTCCCATGTAGCATAAAAGCCAGAAGATGAAGCTAAAAGATTTCTCCTTTTCCCCTCTATTAATGTGGTTTAAAAAAAAAAGAAACTTCAGATTCAAATCCCTCTTTCCTTTTACCCAGCTGCATTCTTAAAAATAGCCACCATTTATGCCAACGGACAGCAGAGTAGCTGCCTTACGTACACACATGCTGTCTCTAATCCTCATAATCCTGTGTGGTACGCTCACTTGATAGATGAAGGAACCAGTGTAGTGAAGCCCCTGTTTAATAAGCATCTGAGCTAATAGATTAGGACAAAACCTGCTTGAATCAGCAGGATTAAAGTCTTTCTCAACTGCTACTCCTATCATATTTATTATACAGTAACTGAAAATAAGACTGTACTCTGGGTGTGCCAGGTCAGTATATTTCACAATGATCTCCTATTTCATAGGTGAAGGAATGTACCAATTATTTTTTTTTTACAGACAGTCTCACTTTGTCACCCTTGGTAGAGTGCTGTTGCGTCACAGCTCACAGCAACCTCCAGCTCTTGGGCTTAGGCCATTCTCTTGCCTCAGCCTCCCGAGTAGCTGAGACTACAGGTGCCCACCACAATGCCCGGCTATTTTTTTCTTGCAGTTTGGCCAGGGCTGGGTTTGATCCCACCACCCTCGATATATGGGGCCAGTGCCCTACTCACTGAGCCACAGGTGCTGCTCCGGAATGTACCAATTTTTTAAATCCAAGACAATTACTCTGTACTTTGTATAGACTGTTCTAACATTAGCTTCCTGAACTTAACACCTTTCAAATGAACTGTAGACTCGTCACTGATATGAAAGATACCCAAATATCACCAGGACCCACTAAAACTATATTAAACCAAAACTTGTGAGTTTGACTATAATGTGAGTCTTTATTCTTTATCTATCTTAATTCAGCATAAATACTTCAGAATTAGACGTTTACTCATAAAAGCCAGTCTCTGAAGTGATTCATACCTGCACACATTGGTTATGTCTGCTCCTGAATAACCTTCCATGTTTTCTGCTATACTTGGAAGGTCAACATCATCAGCCAACTCCAGCTCACGCAGGCTTATTCGTAATAGCTCCTCCCTGCCTTTTGCTAATGGTAGAAACAAATTTTAAAATATAAGCTTTTAACACAGTGTATTATTATTTCTCAAATCTACTTTATATGAAGAATTGTTTTCCTATTCTTAGAGCTCATTTGTTTAACATTTCAAGAGCCATATATCTCACTGAATTTTTAATTTCTTAGTGTAAAGGTATACAGCCAACTAGTAATAAAAGATACCTACATTTATGTCTTTAAAGAAAGTTAATACCAAATTTTAAATTCTCTAAACAAAACTACCTGAAAGTAACAGGAGCTTTCTGACAAGATTTAAATGAAGATACCTGATGGTAAAGGGATATAGATTCGTTTCTCAAGACGTCGTCTTAAAGCCTCGTCTATATCCCAGGGGAAATTAGTAGCTGCCAGAACCATAACCATCTTAGAAGGGTCATCATTTTCAGAAGCACCGCCAACACCTACAGTAAAGAGTAAGGAGGAAGAGAAATACTAAGCTGGATCACACCAAAGCTCAGTCATTTAAAGATTCATTCAGCACAACAATACATGGTAGTACAGTGTTCGAGCCGCTTTCAGACTTAGAGAGAGCTAACTGGTACATGTGTGAATGTGTACTCCAAGGGAAGTTAGTTCTATAGTGTACAAAAACATGACTGAAAATAGATTTAATCAAAAGACCAGCACAGCTCAGTTATGTATCAATTTAAAATTTTTTCAAAAGAATACATTATCTTCAAGTCCAATTTAGTGCATTTATTTCAATTTCATGCTAAAAATCAGAGGACAGTGGCAGCACCCGAAGCTCACTGGGTAGGGTGCTGGCCACATACACTGAGACTGGCAGGTTTGAACCCAGCCTGGGCCACCTAAAACGATGATGACTGCAACAAAAAAATAGCCAGGCGTTGTGGCAGGTGCCTATAGTCCCAGCTACTTGGGAAGCTGAGGTAAAAGAATCACTTAAGCCCAAGAGTTAGAGGTTGCTGTGAGCTGTGATGCCACAGCACTCTACCAAGGGTGACAAAGTGAGACTGTTTAAAAAAAATAAAATTACAGGACAGCATACATGC